CAATGTCCCTTTTGGATTTGAACCGGGCCAGACTGGACAGCAGTAGGCCCCTTTTACTTCTTTCCCTCACCTTTCACTTCCTCACTCTTGCTCTCATGCGCTAAACTAAAAGAAAAACAAAAAAAACCTGTGATATCAAAACAGGATGTGGTCCCTAGTGTCCAATTGCATAAGCAGAATGAGTACCCCAGTTGTCCGAAGAGCGTAGGAGTTCTGCTTTGCGTGTTATCGCTCTCACATGGAAACACGCAGAAACGCACACGCAGAGGACTAGCTGGGAAATGTGGGCCTGTCCCAAAGACAACCTGGCTCGGGGACTTGAGGGATTTCTCGCACCGACACATCACTTTGTCTCGCCGCAGGACCCGCACCTTTAAACGGCAATAGGAAAACTCCTGGAGAGTTTGGAGCAAGCCTAGAGGGATGGAGTGTTGAAAGAGGGGTAGTAGTGGCGGGCTGAAAGAGAGAGGTGTTGTTGGAGGACGACATTGAGAAGAACGAGACTAGAGGGAAAGGAAAATTGGAGAGGAAATTGAAGGAGAAGCAAGAGGTTAATCACCTGGACTTGTTAGCTGTCTATCATCTCAGCGTGTGTGCCAGCTGATAAAGCCATACAGTATTTCCTGTAACACACTTGCTGATGGAGCGATCGTTTCAGTCATTGGTGGAGTAGCATGTCAGCGGTGTTAATGTGCTCTTGAGACTTCCCATCATCCCTCTCCACCTTCTCTTACACTTTCATTTATCTGTCTTGCTTTCACCCTTACTCCTCTCCATCCTGTTATCCCTCCCTCCTCATCTGTCCATCTCTCCCTCCTTGTTTTCCGTGTGTCGTGCCTGGCAGTGGTGAGTGCTTTAAGAGGGTATTAGCAGGGCGTCTGTACAGTACTATCACAGCTTAGTGGGCCAGTGCAGGTGAGACAGCAGGGATTTCCTGTTAGGCCTCTCTGCAACATTCTTGCTAAATTGCTACTTGCCAGGTGGGGTTGGAGAGGAGAAGGGGGGGTGTCTCTCTTCCCCCCCCTATTCTGTCTCATACACACAGTGTCAAACACACATGCACACGCGCGCACACTCATGCAGTAGCCCATGGGCATCAGCACAGGGTGATGTGCGTGCGCCAACATACTGTACGTACAAAGGATTAGTGGTGCCACTAGTGTTTGTGTGTATGTGTGTGTGTGTGTGCCAGTGTGGAGTGGGGAGGACAGAGCAGGGCTCAGTATTAGACTCTGGTTGTCTGCCAGAGGAGCAATATGAGATAAATACTTCACCATCTTACACCTGGGGGTCCTGGCCTGCTTCTAATGCTACTGCTTGAGAGGAGCCTTCTGTGTGTCTGCGGCCTGCATGGTGCACTCTCATTTTACACAAGCACGTACACACACACGGGCAGGTAGGGACTAACTGTGGCCCAACACAGCCGAACCACTCGATTGTGTTCTCAGTATATCTGTTATGTGTATTTTCCATGTTAGTGTGATGTTATTGTTTCTCTCTACTGAGGTTTGTTGCTTGTTAGTTACTAAAATACTCCCAACAAGAGGTGGAAGAAGTAGTCTTTGCAGAATACTCCATTCCATCAATACACTCACATATATTTTTGAGTTAGAGCACATGTATGTACAGGCTGAGTGTATCACGATTAATTGTAATCAAAAAAATATGAATCAACCGTAGAGGTGCTGGATGATGTGTTTTTAAATGGTAGAACCATGCAGGCGACCCTGGCTTTACTCTTGGTACCAGACTTGTAAGAGACTCTTAAGCACGTATTAAGTTAGTAAGTTTTTGACTGTGTTATGCAGTGTTGAAGTGTAGTAACGTGAAGACAATATATATAGAAACAGGACATTGAGTGGGTAGCAGACCGTACTAGATGTAATTTTGGAAGGACTTGGCCTGTCGTTTTTTTTTTTTCCTTGCATTCTCAATAAACTTCATTCAGCTTTTTCCCTGCCTCATGTGGGTACTGTGGATCTCCAGAAAAGGAACAGAAACACGAGTCAAAACCGAGACATCTCACAAACTATGTGGCCTAGGAACTGTGGTGTGTTGAAACGGCCACTACAAGGCTAAGCTAATTGCTTCCCTGTATTGATCGAGGAAAATATAAAAGAAGGAACAGCCGTGACCACAGTGACAGCATTTTAGGAGCCAGACTTTGGTGTCAGTTCTGTTGGAGTCAGTGGGACAGGCCCTGCAAATCATAATTTAACCCCATCATATCTTTGTTTTTTCAACACTGACTGAAAAATCCTTCCACCAGATTAAAAAAAAAAACACTCATTATGTGATGCAAACTGACACTTTTTTTTAAATCTAAATATGCACGTTTGTTTTCCTTCTTATTGGTCTCCATACGGATCATGGCTCTGTCCACCAGAGGCTGAGATACAGCTGCTGGACTCCAATAGAACTGACACCAAAGTCTGGCTCCTTGAACGCTGTCACTGTCGTCATGATCGTTCCTTCTTTTATATTTTCCTTGGTACTGATCTCGTGATTGTCCTGATATGACTCTTTGAAAGAAAGAGAATAACTCTTTTTCCCTGTTCCCTTTTACTGTTTATTCCAGGGCGTATTTTAATGTCAGAGCTGTGCAGAGAAGATTTTAAGTATCTTTTATACTGGTAGTTATGCCTGATTTATAGTATCACACTTGATCATGTTTTATTATGCTCATTATGACTTTTGAACTCTCAATATGCAGAGTAACTTTCCTCTTAAGTATAGTGTACTAAATATATGAAGTAGCATGAAGTTTAATATTCAAGTACCTCAGAAGTATGCTTATGTTCAGTACTTGAGTAAATGTACTTAGTTACTTTCCACCACTACTCCCTTCCTTTATGAATCTCCTGCCACCTTGTGTGTGGGTTCCAATCAGTGTTGATGGACAGTACTTGAAGCAATTAATTCTTCAGTGTGAGCTATATTGACCGAGAAAGTGGAACTCACAGCTGTAAAGTATTTTGTTCTTCCTGCATCCAGTGTCATCATTTGATGTAACATATAGCTGGATGCAGGTTGGATTTTTCCTCCAGGTAGCCAGGGGGCGTGCTCAAGAAGCCGCTAAAAAAATAGAACTTCCTTGTTCTCCTAGCTTGTTTTGTAGACTAGCTTAATTTCTGACAGTGAATCTGTTGCCGATGGGGATACGTTTTACATTACTTTGGCTGACTTGGATTTTCAGCCGTATACAGCCGAAGAAATGCAGAAGAGAGACACCGAGGCTGTGGCCCCTCAGTGGAAAATTCCCTCTGATGCCAACAGAAATGGGATCGATCTGATGCAATGAATTTCAGCGTGGGCAGTTTTTGTTGGATGCTGTCACCGATGCCAGGAGAGCTCCAAGAGAGCCTATGTGTGCAATACTATCCATGAAAGTTTTACTCCTCGCTCGGACAAAGCCGTGCTGCTGGGGTCCCTCTTTAGGATCCTAAAGATAAACTAGAAAAGACAACCAGGAGCAGCAATTGAGTATTTTTGTCACCTAATGTTATTGTAAGCTACTTTGTTGTGTTGCCTCTTAGCAAAATGCTAATTTTGGTTGGGCTTTTATTGTGAAAGGAAAGAGCAAAGCATTAATGCACCAACGATGTGATACCTGTAGGCTAGTAGGTCCCGTGCAATGCATCCTGGTACATGTAGGCACTGCCGGCACAGCTCCATGGGCAGGGGAACTCCATGTTCTCGCTCAATATAGCACGCACTTAGGAATTTATTGCTTCTATTGATTACATTTACCATCAACAATGATTGGACAACCACATAGAGGGCAGCAGATTTTCCCCTTTAAGTGCCCTGTCAGATAGTTGAGAGATGAGCTGGGAAGTACAACAGAACCTGTGCCATAAGTGTTTTCGCACGCCCTGTCTATGTCCAAGTGAGGCTTGTTAAAACGACTGTTAACAAGCCCTCCTTACTGCTTCTCTTTATCTGCAGTGTGTGTGTTGAAGCCATATAAAACACATGCACACCTTAGAATTAAGTTCAAATGGGTTCACTCATTGCGCCATGGCAAAAAGTGCTGGAAATGTAATCAGGTGTTGAAGAGCAACAGAGGAGCACATAGTCTGTTCATGACAGCCAGCGGAGTGTGTGCGTGTGTGTGTGTGTGTGTGTGTGTGTGTGTGTGTGTGTGTGTGTGTGTGTGTGTGTGTGTGTGTGTGTGCGTGCGTGCGTGTGTGCGTGCGTGCGTGTGTGTGTGACTGCAGCAGAACACTGATAGATGTCCAATAAGAAGTTCTGGAGTGAGCTCAGACATCACTCACCTCATTGCACACAGCCAGATACAGAGGATTTTAATGTGTGAGTGTGAAGTGTGTGAGCAGTCTGATCTATGGCAAGCCTGGCCCAATCAGGCAGCACTCTCAATAACAAATGATGGGACAGGCTCCAGGCTCCTTCTCTCTCTCTCTCTCTCTCACACACACACACACACACACACACACTGCATCAGTCCACAGTGGTTCATATTATGAACAGTAGGTCAAAGCTGAACTTTTACTACTTCCAAATGTCAACAAGTAAATGTGTTGAGACATGTCAGTTCCAGTACTGAATAATAACATATGGGCCACCTGTCTGAGAACTGGGAGAGAAAAATCAGTGTAAGCTTTCACAGTCTTTTTGTGTTTCTGTTTTTGTCTCTTTTCCTGTCAGTCAATCTGGTCTGTTTCCTGTCTATTACAGTCTATTACAGATTACATTCAATTTATATACTTGCCTGTCCATCTGCCCATCTGGTTAAATCGTATGAACAATGAGTCACATCACCTGCTTTGACTCTTATTTCCCCTTTTCTCTCGGCTTGTCTAATGTTCTGTCTACCTGTCTTTCAGCATAAAAGAATATGGTTTATGTTGTACAGCAGCTCCCTTGCGATATCTGTCTGACTGTATGTCAGTCAAACTCCTCTTTGTTCTGTCTGATCATGTGTCTGCCTGACTTTTTATCCGCATATATGCTTAAATTCTTGGTTTGGTCCTCTCTAGGTAGATGCTCTGCGGGTGCGTCTGGAGGAGAAAGAGCAGTTCCTGACTAAGAAGACCAAGCAGCTGCAGGACCTGACCGATGAAAAGAGCACACTAACAGGAGAGATCAGAGACATGAAGGACATGCTGGATGTCAAGGAGAGGAAGGTTAATGTCCTGCAGAAGAAGGTAAGTGAGTCCAGGGGTCGCTTGTAGTGACAAACCCACAAAGAATTATCACTCAATAATAGAGCTGTCCTGAATACCAGTTTTGGGGCATTAAAGCGTACAAATATATAATTATTCAAAGAAGAGGACTTCAGTCGCTCCGCCTAAAATAAGATGATAGTGAGTTGTGTTGTTAACATGCAGGTTGCACATTAGCCATAATAGCTAGAAAGATGAATGCTTTGCAACATGGCTAAGATGTTACTTACAAATTTTAGGTGGTTTGCCAAGCTTGTTTGTGACATTTGTGACATACCAGTTTCCTTTGGCATATCTGGCACTCGACTGTTGGAGACGTCTTCATGAATTCTGAAGCTGTTCAAGATGCTTGATGCTTTTGACATCTTCCTAGTGTATCTGGTAGCCTGTCACATGTGGTCAAACTGCTCCAGTTTCAATAGTGCTGGACTGCTAGTCACTAAGGGTGCTTTCAGATCTGGAGTTGTCTTGCTTTGGTCCGAATCAGGTACTGATTTTCTTTGCAAAGTTGCATAATTGCCTAGAGTTGGTTCGTGTTCTCACGGCAGCATTTATAAGCAAACCGGATAAAATGCCTTGTGCGAGAAAGCTGCTCTTGATTGGTCAGAATTTCCATGTGGGAAAAATCCAGGAAGTAAACAAAACATTGAAGAAGATAAATGCGACACTTTCTAATGTCACAATGGAGGGACAACTACGCAGGTTGATTTTAGCGCTGGTCATCGTGGACTACATTGTTCATTTTAGTCAAACCATACAGTTTGAAAACGAGGCACGGCTCCAACTAGAAAACAATGTTTTGATGCATTGGATGTGCTGAATGTGCATATTAAGGCAGTACAGGAGGAGGTGCACATTAATAATCCTCCAGGACTGTAACATGCTCATGTTTAACCCAAACAATGTGTAATGTGACTGCAGTTGGTTCAGATCTAGGTCTGAACATGTTCTCACCACAAACTAACTGCACCAGTGTTTTTTTGTAACCGGACCGAGACCACCTCTTCAAGAAGGTCTCAGTCCGGTTGTTTTGGTGCGCACCTGAGTGCGATTGCGGTGTTCACACCTGCCCAAACGACCTGCACTTAGGGGGCTAACAAACTTGAGTTCAATTGAACCGAACCAAACCAATCAGGGCAGGTGTGAAAGCACTCTTACTTTAAATGTTCTTGTCCCTTGTCTGAGAATAATGAAAAATAATTCATGTTTATGCATAATGTTTGATAACTATTTCTTAATTTTTGGGCTGTTTAGGATTTTGGGTAGGGATGTCCCGATCTGATCCTCGGGTATCGGCACCGATCACATTATTTTTACAAAATTGTAATCAGTAATAAAAGATCGGAGGAATCAAAACAACAAAAATGTTGTTCATTGTTGCCTCCGCTTTCCAATGTATTGTAACCGAGCGTCCTGGGTTCGCCTAACTGAGTGCAGCGGCGGAACCTTGCCTACCACAGCCCTACGGCAACTCTGGAGAGAATTTGTTTACATTTTGTGCTGCTGAACCACCGATAAGCTTTTTGGATACTATTTGAATAAAAAACAAAATCTTATGGGACAACTTGGATGCATTCTTTTTCTTTCTTTCTTAATGCATTGCAAAGTATCGGATTGGACTCAGTATTGGACTCGCGGTTTCAAAATAAAGGACTCGGTATCATATCGGATGCAAAAAAAAAATGTGATCGGGACATCCCTAATTTTGGGGTTAATTATATATTTAAACTGAGCATTTGAATACTAATTTTGACATTGATTACCATAGAATAATCAGGTCAGCCTGTTAAATTGCCCAAAATGGCCAAAGAAAATCAATTCATACCGCTGTAACAAAGTTAGCAAGTCCTGATTATGGTTGGGAAAAGGGTTAATATACTTGACAAAGAAAATGAAAAAAAAAAAAAAAATCCTTTCAGTTACTGTAATCTATTCCTTTTCCACTTTGCGTTTGCCAGGAAAAACTGTTGCTCATTGAATTAAATCACTTTTATAGGGGAACAAAGATGTGTGGATATTTGATCAGTGACAGGTTTGTTGACAGTGACCACGTCAGGTAACTTTCCCTGGAGCCATACTGGAAATTAATTCACTGTTCTGGTTCTGGCCACGTGAACACATCTCTGGCTTTGTGAATAGACAGTAAGAGTGTTTGTTAAATGAATCATTGAATGTGTGCCTAGTAAGATCTGCTACTCACAGCTGATCACTATTACATATGGTTAACAGAGATACCTTCACACATACAGTGAACGTGTTCTATGCGCAGAGCAGCACACACATCCTTCTGTGCGTATACTCATGCAGACCTGCTCACACACTCACCCGCACTTGCACGGCATGTCTCAGAGTCCTTAATGACTTTTATAAGGTTAGCTATTTAGACAGGGCCGGTGACCACCTGTGGTGCGCATGTTGGCAATTCCTCCATAGACCAATTACACACACATAAAGGTCCCCGCTCAACTTCCTTGTTTCCTCTCATGTCCTCAAATTAGATCTCCTTCTCTCTCCTCCCACCCTCCCACTCGCTGGGTTTAATGAAAAAGGGTTCCAAAGGTCACATGCAGTGCCTCGAATCTGTGAGTATGCATGTGTACGTGCACATGAATATGTTCAAATACATTGTAATGTTTGTGCAACCACAGGGTGTTTCTGTGTGAGAAGTTTAAAGATGACCTTTATGTGCACCCTGCGCTGTACTCCGTTGGGTCCCTCCTGCAGTATGGCTCTTAATTCGAGGCACTTAATAGGCTTGTTTGTAGCAGATAATGGGGCCCCTCTGCTTTTTGACATTTCATTCGTTTACAGACATGTTTGTTATTGGCTGCTGGTTCATTGTGGAAGCATTTGGTGGAGAGTTTCAAATTTTTAGTCACAATTTGTGTACTTAGTTGCACTATTTTTCTGTAAACTTCAGTTGCCATTTTTATCCCTGCAGGCTCAGTGAGATTAGGTTGGATGATGATCAGGTTAATATTTGGTTTGTGCTGCCTGTTGCATTGATGGCTGGTTTCTCACTGGCTGGTTTCTCACTGGCTGGTTTTTGCTCCTTCATTGATATTTTTTCATCTGTGTCTTTGCAGAAAGTCTCCGTCTTCCTCTATGTCCTGCAGTGTTTCAATTCATCATTTTAAAATCCAGCAGTGATAGAGCACACTTTACATGTGTCAGTGTGACATGAATGGAGGAAGTGATATTTGAATGAAGAGCCAGGCTGAGTATTTTATGCTGTGAACTGACAGGTGTTTCACTCCATTAGCCACACAGTATACTCCGAACCCAATCTGATTGGTTTTCCAAACTTCCTACCTCTCAACAGCCCCTGGGGGCTATAACTTACAGTGCTGTGTCACATGGGAAAGGCAGGAGTGGAACTAGGAGTCAAAGCTTGTTTCCTTTTTGGGGCTTCACACTCACTAAGTTACTGCTTGCTTAGTATAAAATACACAGACAAGCTCTTTGTTTGAAGTCGTCACAGGCAGCATGAAGTCCTCCCTAGACACAAATCTAAATGCCAAGGATGTATTTCCTAACTAAGGAGTGACTGCATGTTTTTCAGAGTTTTGCACACGGCTACCTACTTAAAGGTGTGTCTTTAACTTCTGATGGCTCATCCTAAATGATGATATTTAAAAGCAGCGGGCTGATTCACAGCTGAAGCCTGCGGTTAGTTTGCTGCATGTGTTTTTCCACAGCAGGGCAGGTAAAAGAAGTTTACCTGTTGGAGGTGAGCTGTCTGCAGAGGTGCAGTAAGAGCCTGTTGTCTGCAGCTCTTCATCAACATCTCATTGTGGCTGTTCCTGCCTCGACTCCTCCTCCCTGTGGTATCAGTAGAAAACCGCCAATTTAGCGATAAACCCTTTTTATTTCCTATCCTATCGATTCTTCACAATAAAAATCCCATGTTATTTTGTTATGTGAAAACTTTTATTGTTTTATAGCTAAATAAGGAAATGTTGAGTTTTTAAGCAGCAACGTCACACAACTTCTGATACGGCTGATAGCGGAAATAGCGAACATGAAACAGTGAAATAAAGCAGATACCTAAAGTAGAAACGGGACACAGGAGCGAAACTAAACTACAAACCACAGAGATTCAGTAAGAAGCTACAAAAGTACTGAGAGCAGAACACACAGAGACTTTGAAAAATGCCTTTTTCACTGGTCTCCTTGCAACACACACAGCTTGTTTCAGATGGGGTGGTCGTCAGGGGTTGGCTGCTGTCAGTTAGACGTCACCACTACCCGCTTGAGCCCAGCGGCGCGGCTTTGGACCTACTCCAATGAAGGTCCATTTCTAGTGGAGCTTGGCGTGGCATGGCACGTCTAAACTGATAATGGAAAAACAAATCGTCACAGCATGGCTTGACTGGGCATGGGCAAAAGTGTTAATGGAAAAAGGGTTCAAAGAGTTTTGTGATTGTCGAATTGCATCATATCAAAGCACTCAAACATGCCACATCTACAGGTTGTTGACAGGTAATTTTGATGATTCATTTCAGTGTAACAGTACTTTGCACTTCTCAGTGTCAGTATTAAATATTCTAAGGGGCGGTATACATGCCACTGTCTTTAAACGCCTGGAAAACACGAGGGCGGGTGCTTGCCATAACTGTTGTCCATTTTTTGAGCCAGCTTTCAAGAGCGCGGCAGCAGCTTGCGCCTGAGGTTGCTAAGCAACCTTAACAAGCACCGTATCATAGCCTAGTGCAGAGATGATCTTATTTCAGGTGCTGTTTATAAGCGTGTAGGCATATCGTCCGTGGGACAGATGAAAAGCTCTGGCAGCGCTGCACCGAAATGATCCACGTTTCCATATTTACCACCGACTGATATTTATGGAAGAAGGGAAAGATATCTGTCAGCTGTGATTGGTTGTTCCTCGTCACATGACATGCGGTACATGCTGCTGGGTTCCAAAAGCTGGACTGTTTATCGCTGTGGTGTTGCTCTGTCATTTGAGCACGCCTGCTGCGCAT